TGATGGTAATTAGATGGATACTTCCGGAGCAAGCAACTCAAACGTACCATGGGATCCATAAGCGCCACACAGAACCGCCAGCGCACCAGAGAGACCGGCCAAACGGACAAGCATGCTACAATGAGACGGTTGGATTACGTTCGTAATAACTGCCACAGGCTTGGACGATGTGCTTCTTCCGGACGACAACAAATACTTGATGGTATCAGCAGTAGCACCCAGAGCCTCGTTTACGTACGGCACGTAAACCATGAGTGGCTGTAAGTGTAAACAGGAACTAATGAAAAATATTGCTCTTACGCAAGAACCTCAAGCTTTTTAAGATGGCTCGTAGCAAGCGTGAAATTCCCTAGTGGAGTAAATCCTATTATGTTAAGTTCTAGTCAACTTTTCCTCCAACTGGAGGTCGTTCACTCAACCGATAAACGTTGGTGGTAGGGTTAACAATGGAATGATGTCCTACAAACACTAAGAGGAGTTTATCAAAATCGTAGGAGAGGCTCTCTCGTTACTCCGGTTCACGCTCTAATTGTCTTATTGGCATACTAATTGGTTTATCTTTAAAACTTGAAGATTCTAATTTTTCATCTATTTTAGTCATATAATCATCATCCCACAATCGTCGATACCCTCTGGTTAGGCAGAGCTGAATGCTACCAGGCGCATTCCCGGGTTTTGAATAGGGGGATACCTTCACCGAAGGTTAACTTGTGGTATACCGCAACAAATAAGCAGTTGCGAACAATCAGCGGCGGTACTCCAGGGTGTGGTGGATTTCAGGCTGGTCACCTGGCTCCTGTTTAAAAGCCGCATAAGCCCAATGATGGTGTCGTGATAAAGGTTGCTGTGACTGGCCTTTTTAAAGAAAGTCATTAACCCCCCTCACTTCCGAGGCGACGGTTTACCTCCTGATGCCTGGCAGCTCGCACTTCATTGTGCGCAGGACTGAAACACCTGTGGCGGCGACGTGACGTTTCACTGAAGTTGAAAAGTCGCGTATACTGCGCCACTGTACGATCTGTTCTGCTGTACGGTTGAAACCTTGAACTTGCGGGTAGAAAACATCCGTCGTTTAGCAGTGTTCGGCAATCGCTGCCTACTTAGTCTGGCTCAAATGGGATGGAGTGAGCGGGTTAGTAACTTAGGAGTAAGTCGTCGGGCATTTGGGAATACCTCAAACAAGAACTTGCTATCGCATCGAATCCAGTTCAACAAGCTTCGTTGGTTACGACACGTGTTGTGTACGTCCGACGGTCGCCTACCGCAACGTGCCTTATTCGCACTGGCTGTTGCAGGCTGGAGAAAGCCACGTGGAGGCCAGCAGATGATGTGGAGACGAGGCATGAACAAATGCACGAAGCGATTAGGTAGAGTAGACGTCTCTCGGCTTCCGGGAGATCTCTCGGGAGAGCAGAGCTGTATGCTACCGAGCGCGTCCCCAGGTCGCGGATAGGGGGACGGCCGTCATTTTACGGCTAACCGTGAATGAGATGGGCTTCGGCCCTCCGAATAAGCGGTCGCGGACGATCAGCGGCAGCGTTCGAGGATGTAGTGGGTTTACCCCTGGTAAGAGTTCTCTGCACAAAACACCACATATCTATGGACAGCGCTGTGACGTGGCGAGTGTAGCCCGCCACTAAATATGGTCATTGCTCCTTGTCGAAATCCATTGCTCAACAAGGTTTTCCAGAAGAGGCAAATGAACCAACTACTGGCCACCGGCTCATCTGGAATATCGCTGCGCCTTGCAGTCCGCGCTTGGTTGCGCAAAGGCTAGAGTGCACCCCCGAACAAGGCCTACTCTGCACCGGGCGACCGAGTAGTACAACAGCCCACAACGCCGGCAATGATGAACTCTTTGAATTTCATGTGCATCCAGCCTGCCATTCCCACACCTACAGATAAACACTCGACACCGTACACACGCTCATGTCCCCTAGCCTTACTTAATCCTACCTTCACCCTCTTAACTCACCTCTATCGAGTTCTTCAGAGGATCGTGCAAACACTAGTGCCTCAGATGGAAACTCTGCCGCTGTTCCCTCATGTCCTACCTCGACTACCGTCCAAGTCTCACCGATTCCCCACAAGCTAAAACCCTTCTTCGCCCTCGATGTCCTTTCAAACTAGCCACATTTAATGTGTGCACTCTGATGCGTATAGGACAACAGGCCGGTTTAGCTCGTACGCTCGAGACCCTAGCCATCGATGTGTGTTGTACCTAAGAGACTCGTATTCAAGACTCCAGCTCCGTTATCCGATTGACGTCCTCATTTAACCAATCTGTGAAATTCCACTTACGCCTCTCTGGGGACCCTGAGGCTGCGGCTTCCGGTCTTGCTAGCGTTGGTGTGGCTCCCAGTGAGAAAGCCGAAGCCGCGCTCCTGGACTGGTTCTCAGTCGACAGTAGGCTGTGCGCAGTGAGACTTAGAGGTTCGTGAAAAGTAAACAGCCGTCGCCCCGACAGACGAAACCTGTTTGTCGTGTCGGCGAACGCCCCGACAGACTGCAGCCCAGATGCAGTAAAAGATGAATTTTATCAAAACCTACACAACCTCTTGCGTAAGGCAAATCGGGCTGATATCGTGATTTTTGCAGGAGATATGAATGCCAGAGTAGGTCGGCGGACTTCGGGTGAGGGGCATCTGGGTGGTCCTTTCGGACTAGATTCCTGTCGCTCGGAAAACGGGGAACGGTTGTTGGCTCTTTGTTTTGACCACCGCCTATTCCTCGCCAGTACGAACTTCAGACGCT